CTACATTGACTCCAAATGTAATAACTTCTGACAATAAGGCTCAAACCAACTAGCTCCTGGCAATGATATTCGACAAGAATCCGACAATTATTGGCTTACAGGTAAAATTGGACAAAACAGCAAGTTTCGCGACATGGGGCATAACAAAAGATCAACCCTTAATTCGAAAGCAGCTAATGTAAAAAGCCAGAGCTCTGTATAGGCTTGAGTTTAATATAGAAATAGTGTTAGCAGTGGACGGTGCATTAGGAATACGGCAGTCGGCTAAACACCCGAGTCCGACGATGTCTGAACATCAAGTTTGTCTTTTATGAAGTGGCGAGCACCTTTAAGAGCTGAGCTTGGGGAGGGGGTCCCTGTTGACACCACCACTATCGCCGCTTATGTCCACATATCAATCTCAAGTTTTACGCGGAGCTTAAAATGGACGAAGTTTATAGGTGGGACCGGGAGCCTAAATGCATTTACGGAAGCCGCTGTGTCACGGGCATTTTACAGCCGAACGTCTCAGGGCAGCAGGTTGCAGAAATTAAAAGCACGTGAATTTGTATAATAGAGGGAGCACCACATGCCACTGTAATAAATTAAACACCAATATAATTTACCGAACTAAAGTCATTTAGATCTATTCGTCAGGCTAAAAGTCGCTAAAGTCTCAACTCCATAGTGCCTGTTTTGATTTTTTTTTAATTACGCGGTATCTCTTTCTTTAACATTAGCCTAATGACGTCACGCGCGCCGAGAACTTGGTGACGTTGTGCTAAGTGGGGGATGAAACGGCGGGGTTGAGAAAAATGACGTTTTTCTTTTTTTAACAGACGAATAAGTGATAGATTCTAATTCTCCTACGAACTATAGGTTGATCTAGTTTTTTTTTCTAGAGGGAGATATCACCATATATTGAGTGTTTTTTGTTTTTTTAATAATTAATGGTGGGGAGGGGTAAAAAACGACTGTTGAACAAATAAAAAACCATGTGGTATTCAAATGTAACTAATTAAAATTTAAAACTATTTTTATAAACACAATAATCTTAATTCAGGCAAAATAAACAACTAGGCTTAAATGGATCACCCATAAACAGTGCCTGCGCCAGATTATTTAGCGCCCTAGGCAAAACTTATTAAAAGCGCCCCCCCCCCCCCGCAATTTTTTTCATGCCCCGTATTATCAGAGGCGTAGCGACCCTTCCAGCGCCCGGGGACAAGCTTACGATTTGCACCCCCCACCCTCAAACTTTCAATTTGTTTTTCCAACCCATTTTGCCCCCCCCCCCCCCCTACGAACAGCGCCCTAGGCGCTAGCCTAGTTCGCCTTATAGGTAGCGCCGACCCTGTCCATAAATGACATCATACTTTTCCCGACGAATTCCCTTTCCCCAAATCGTCACTAAAAGCGAGATGATGATTTAATATCATATCGCAGTTCTACTATACCCGAACGCGTAATCACAATTTCTAACGAAAACGAATATATTGTTCATCATTTTAAAAAAAAAAAATTTTTACCCGTCCCATATTTTGAGTCCAACGTCATTTATGAAGAATATGGACGACCTAATAATTGACAAGTTCATCAGTACAAAAGGGTTTAATAAATGATGGACCTCCCAAAAATTTTTGAGATCTTGGTTGTACATACATACATACATACATACATAGTAGGTTGTCTTATTACAATTTTTTAATTAAAATTTTCTGTCACTTATCATATATCATTACAAACCATATCACTTACTGGTTAATTTGAGACCAAATTTAATGGTCTAGCTTAATTAGGGGCCGAGAAAACAAACAAAAACAAAATGACCTATTAACATCTTAAAATGCGAAACTCTTTTTCGCCATCAAAAGATATCAAAAAGTTACGTTGGTTTGTGTTTTCCATTCGTAGCATGATGTCATAGCAATTACGACAACATTGGGTATTTTAGTTACCAAAAAAACCAAAACATTTTGTTAGAAATAAAACTTTATATTCATTATGTTTATTAAGGAAATATCAGACATATTTATTATAAATTCTATGTACAATGTACAATTTAAGACATTAGGCATTCCATGATGAATTGAACAATCAATACCCATGAAGATGACAATAAAATTAATATCCAAAACTAAAAATAGATCTGACAGAAATCTAGATCTAGTCCTTCTAACTGTAACGACAATACAGTATTATTAGGTAAGATGATAAATGAACTTTTTTTTAACTTTAAAATTAAATACTCTATAATTAACCATTAATGTCCCATTCATTCTACCAAAACTCCACCCATGACGGCCCAATGTAAGGAGCATAACTCTGTATGATCAAGTGAATAGTTTCACAAAATATTTGTTTTTGTCTAAATGAAATTGAAAATTAAGATAAAAACTACTGCTTAATGTTGGGAATAAACCTGGCTTTCCAACAGTATTAAATAGAATATATTATATTCGGTAAAAGTACAGTATAAAAATAAAAAATGTCGGAGAAAATTCAAAACAGGTCATTTTCGGTAGTCAACTTTATTTATTTTTGTCTAAACAACTATTCATCGAATTTAACAGCTAAATATCAATTTGGTTATGTTTAACATATATAAATCATAAAATACATGCCTAGATACGTTTAGAGGCATTAATTTTTTTAATTTTTAATATTAAATCTACTAAAAATACGACAGATGAGTCGAAAATTTCGAGATAGAAAGAAACTATTATTTTTTATCTTTCAAAAGCGCCATTGAAATTAGAAGACCGGAAAAGGATGCTGAAACCATCCGACTTTCTGTTTAGTTAAAAATTAGGATTTGTAGGCCAAATTTTAATGAAACAAATTTAATTTTTCTATGCGTATTGTAAGCGGGCGGCAGCGGGCGTTACGGGACATTAACGGTGTCGGGCGGCAGCGGGCGTTACGGGACATTAATGGTTAATATTCTCTTCTGTAGTAGCATTAGGTTAGGCGAAGTTTTCTTTTTTTTTTTTTTTTTTTTTTTACCAGCTATGCGTAGTAAATCTACAGTCCTGTAAGCTTGCGTGAACTTAAAATGACCCTAAGTTGATTTACAATTTGCTTGGTTTATGAGGGGAGGGGTGGGATTGCCCACCGACGATCTCTAACAGCAATAGTTAATGCTGTGACGTATGTATGGTAGGCCTGCTGAACTCACGGTGAACCCTCGACCGTGTCAACATTTTTCTCCCGCAGACAAGAAAATGTAAGCAGTCGATCTCGCGAGCGATGCGAGCGACGATGTTTGGAAAATTTTGAATAATTATTTTATAAAATATTATTTCGTTCAAAAAAAAATTTTTTGAAAAAGAAAGAAAATAAAACCGCTCGTGGCATTTCCCATGTGAAACAATAAAATAAAGCACAACTGATTTACGTCGGATTCGAACTCGGAGATTCTAGGTCACCTACCGCACCGTTCTGTTTACTCTGCCACACACCACGATGTATTGGAAAATAAAATATTAGACATTTTGTATCAAAATATTGCTAAAACTAAAAGGAAATAATTACTACTTCATTTATTGATATCATTCTACGTAGTAACTGAGTAACTGCGTAAATTTTACACACAATTCCTATATTTTTAACTAACACAACAGCATTAACGAGGTTGACCAAGTCTAAAAATAAAAAAAAAATTGCCAGTAGGCCTAATTAGATCTAGCACAAAAAGGCTCGGAATGAGCATTGTTTAAAATACAATACTAAGGCCTAATTAAAAACTACATATAATTTCATATAAATTATACAGTCGGGTAGGCCACGAAGTATTAATATTAACAAGGTTAATGACCGGTCACGAATTATGTTCAATGAAACTAACAGTGCAGTCGGCCTACTTGGCTTGCAGTGAAGAAAAAAAATCAATATACTTATAAAATTACTAATACTTTAATACAATAATAATGCCCACAATTTCTGCACATGCTAAAACTGAATTATAATTAAAATACTAGACTTAACAGTGCATTCCGCAAAAAACAAAAATTAGTTGTTTCTATCTGACAACTAGCGTAACAATGGCGTAACGTTGCTAAAAATAGCAGCGGCATGGTATTTCTATGGGGAATTGGATTTTGGAAGAAGGGAAGCAGCATCATTGTAATTAATCATGGTAAATATCTCAAATATATATTTATCTAGGTGCTGTCGAGCGCTGATACCCGGTGGTCGGTCGTTTTTCGTTACAGTTCAGTTCCTAATGAGAGTGCTCCATAAGAGATGCTTGTATTAATTATTACTACATATCTCGCAAATGTTTCTGGCATTTAAGCCATAGTATCCATTTCCTTAGCATTTCGCATTAAAATAGTGATGAGATATTGCTAGATTAGCAGTTTTTTCATTTTTTGTATATAGGACCCCCCAAAAACACTTAAAATGCGAAAACTAAAAGAGCATGACGTTTCAGGGTCAGGTTCTGACTTCCGGTTTTGGTAAGGAGATCGACTAATACATAGCCTTCATTGCAATTGAAATTAAAGATAAGAAGACGGCCCTCTGTACTACTTACATTAAACAAGACAGCTATGCATATTAAACAACAAAGTCAACACAATATACGTACGAATAGACATTTTTATCAAGGGAAACTACTCTAAATTTTATTTGGAAAGATGGCCGCTGTTTTTATCTACTAACATTTTTATCTCAAACACCTTGTTTAAAGTTAGTTTCATGGTATTTTAATTTTTTTTGGTCACTGATTGTTATTTTAAATCAATTATCTGTTTAATTTTGTAAAATTTGACTTAAATATACTTATTTAAACAAATATATTCATCAGTTACCTCTCCCGCACATTACTACTGCGGCCGAATTGATTACGCTAAACTAAATTTCTAAAACGATAGATTACCTAATTTCCGACGCTATATCATGATTTTACCTAATCTAGATCTAGATCTAGTTTACTTATGGAAAAACGTCATCACTCATATTGATATTTGTTTACACTTTACAGTAGATTTAGTCTAGGTCTACAGGCCGTGTTCTACCTTTTGTTGATAGTGTCAATGACTTTGATAGGGAGGCTGCCATTTTTAAAAAGGTGATAGCTCTTACCGCGATATTTGTTTCAGTTGCGAAGTAGACTCTAGAATCTAGATGTAGACCTAGAATCCAGATATCTATCTAGAACAAGTAAATATAGATCTAGATGTCTAGATAGATCTAGATCTAGCTATTTTTTTTTATTTTATAGCTTAAACATTTAATTTAGAATCTACTTGCTGGTACTGGTAGCTTCTTAAATTTTAGTAAATGTATATCTAGTGACGACACACTTTTTTTTAATAAAAAGTATTCAAATAGTAAGGCTATTTAAAGAAAATTAATTGTTTTCTACTTTTTAGTGTATTATCATATAAAAGCTTGTAATTAAAACGTTTTTAACAGTTTTATTTAACTTGCTCCCTCGTGCATTTATCATGCTATGTATATATATATATATATATATATATATATATATATATATATATATATATATATATATATATATATATAAAAGTATTCAAATAGTAAGGCTATTTAAAGAAAATTAATTGTTTTCTACTTTTTAGTGTATTATCATATAAAAGCTTGTAATTAAAACGTTTTTAACAGTTTTATTTAACTTGCTCCCTCGTGCATTTATCATGCTATGTATATATATATATATATATATATATATATATATATATATATATATATATATATATATATATATATATATATATATATACACGAAGTAGCGAAGTCGGCCAATGTACGAAATACGCTGTCAGTGCTAAGCTTTTCGGGCTTTGGCCTCGAAAGCCGGCTAATGCGCACATTGGCCGGCCAAAGCGTGCTTTTCCCGCACTTCGGGCTTTGACCGTAACAGATCTAAGAAAACAATTATATTGGAGTTCACTATGCGAATCTTGGCTTTCTATTTGTGGAGAACTCTAGTGACCATATCTTGTTGAGCTGGATGAAAACTTGCCTTGCCTGTCCTTTCTTTCACATGTGTGTCTGTTCCCCCTTGTTTATTTATTTATTCTACCTATGTAGCAAAGCAAATGCTTTCACTTCCAACAAAAGACGGGGCTTCCATATTGCATGAATGGCTACGTGTGAAGTTTTCTGCATAACCTTCGTCTTTTGCTTGTGTATTTTTAGGCCGACCATCTATGAAATGGCAGCTACTATATTTGTGTTCTCTAGCATCTGGTGTTGGACGTGTGATAGATGGCCAATGTTATCCTTAAAATCCACATATTCGAGCTGTTTTACGTTGTCCCGTACATTCGTTTACCCCCGTGGGTAGCTATCTACGTAATCCAGATACTGGGGTGGAGAGAGAACTGTGACAACAAGCATCATTGTCAGAGGTGGAGAGAGAACTGTGATAACAAGCATCAGGAGAGAGAACTGTGACAACAGGCATCAGGAGAGAGAACTGTGACAACAAGCATCATTGTCGGAGGTGGAAAGAGAACTGTGACAACAGACATCAGGAGAGAGAACTGTGACAGCAAGCATCAGAAGAGAGAACTGTGACAACAAGCATCATTGTCGGAGGTGCGTTCAGCCTGAACAATAAACATAGCACCTACAACGAGCATCTAAACATGGACCTATTTTATTCCTCCTGTGCCCATCGCAATGGACCATCCGTTCTATTGTTTGCAATTGATGTTCTTAGTAATATTAAAAAGAAATCTGTAGAGAAAACTTTAAACCCCACATCTAATAGAAATCCTACTTTTAAAAACAACAACCACCTACATCTCTATTGTAATGCTAAAGTGTGTAGTAGTGTGTGTAAAACTACCTAGATAAGTAATTATCTTACTTTACTCTAGTATCTTTTTTCACCAAACCCCACCCCCCCCCCACCCCACCCCCTGCTGGAAGACGGCGTCAAATGGGAGGAATCTATAGTAACGAAGAATGTATCTCATAGTCATTTATCCAACTCTATATAGGATATATTTCTTTGTAATAAACAAGTTTCTGTCCTGATGTCTACCCCCTCTTCTTCTCCCCCCCCCCCCCCCCTCCCAATCATCAGGAAGCTAAACTTGTATTTTAAAGTGCATTTTATACTAATTTGTTGATAATTAAACTGGGAAAAGCATCGCTTTTTAGTATGTTTTGCATTTTTTTTTTCACCATAAGGCCAACAAACATTAAAATACTTAAATCGCAAAATATGTGTTACTGCATAGCTCCTATCTAGACAACCATCGAAATAAGGCATAGATTAGAATGCGTCGAAACGTTCAAGAGAAGAGACGATGCTAGTTGCTATCCTTCTAAAGGTGAACCATCGGCTCCAAGCGACGGAAGATTACGGGAGTGTCTTAAACACAAAGGATCAACACCAAAATATAACGAAAATGCGGTCACTGCTGTCTTTCATAGCTCCTTCTATGTCAACGAGGTTAGACAACCATCAAACAATCAAGTCAAAAGCCGCCAGCATCATCGCCGCATGCAACAAGGTGGAACGCCAAGAGACAATACTAGTTGCTATCCTTATAATGTTAACAATGGGGTCCATACGACTCGGGATGACGGGAATGTACAAAGGATACACAGATAGGTATCGTTACTTCTTTAAGTTATCTAAATGGGCTTTCAAGGACCCAAAACAGTTGAGGGGTGGCACAGGAGGTAGCAGGTAATCGTCGGAAAATATCACCATAGAGTCTTTTGTTTGCTAAAAAAACAAACAATATTTACAGAAAGAGGACATGATAACAAATGTCATTACATACAGGGAAAACAGAACTAGACTTGAATTTCTACGTGGCATGGCATTCAATTTCTCATACTAGGCTCTATTTTTTCTATTTTGTAATATGACTTTATCATTATATCTGGTTTTCAATACAAATTAAACATATCTGTAATTGTAGTTTGTTGTTTTATAAAACTTGTCCTCCTTTTGTCTTGTCTGCCTTTTGGATGTCGGCTTTTTGTCTTGTCGGCCTTTTGTCAGTATCGGCCTTTTGCCCTGAATGATTTCCCCGGTGCAGTCCATCCCCCACCCCCTGCCACTTGCTTCGCTTCAAATGCTTCATAAGTTTCCACACGAATGCACTGTCTACACTATTATTAAATGCGTTTTCCAAATCTACAAAAAATATATAATGAAGAGCAAATTTAAAGTTTAGCCATGTGATAATTCTTAGTGTTTCAATGTGATCTTTGCAAGAATGTTCTTTGCTAAGCATATGTTCTTTAGTCTAGTGTCAAAAGCTTCATAAAGTATACCTATCAGTGGCGTAGCTACCGTAAAGCTAGCGTAAGCAAGGCATATGGGCCCAAGGAAAATAGGGGCCCTTTACCCTCTTATAAAAAAATTTAAAACTTTTACATTGAAATTTTAATATTTTTTAATAAAAATTTTTTTAAAAAGAAAATAGAAATCCAGTTTCTTTTCTATATAAGAAATAAAAAAAAGTTTATTACTGTACAGGTAGTGGTATACAGTGGTGAGGTGTGAAGGGGGGGGGGGTTCGTACAGTGCCCATCCGTATTAATAACACTGTCGTACAAACCATTCAGAGAATTAACCTATACATAAACTGGACATTTTACTCTTTGACTTTGTGAGATTGGCATCTGGCACCCGTAAATTTACACGCATAGCTACAAATCTCAATTGACTGGGAAATTCTCTACACCACCCCCACAAACTTGCAACCTCCTCACAACTGTCTGCCCTCCACGAAATTCCATCCATCCATGATTACAAACAGATTTGTGTTTGTCTGTCTGCCTGTCCTCTATTAATCATCCACATCGCCATTAAACATTGGGAAGTCGTTTAGAATACTCCAGATAAACCTCAACTAAAATTTCCTACCTCACCTCCGCACACGAAGAGCAGTGCCTCTCCCTCGAAGAGAAGCCAGGAAGAAACTCTGGCTCATGTAGCGTTTTCTTCCATTAAATATTGTTATTTGTTCGGAGGGCCGCGCCCTGGCAGTAAGGCGGTTCGGACAGAGGCGTAGCGACCCCTCCCGGCGCCCGGGGCGAACATTCAGTTTGGCGCCCCGCCATATATATATGTGTGTGTGTGTGTGTGTGTGTGTGTGTGAAAAAGCGCCCCCCCCCCTCCATCTAGGAAAGCTGGAAAGCAGTTTTTCCGGTCACTGTTTCTTAAGGATATACCTTTTACAGTTACTCAATCAAGGTAGAAAACAGTTAAATCAGTATGCAAAGGCTCTCAGCCGTTAAATTTCTTTACTTTGACTGTTTATAATTCAAAACTGCAGCTTAAAATGAGCTTGTAAATTTTTTTTTCTACCCCTTTTGGCGCCCCCTTAGGGTCGGCGCCCGGGGCGGCCGCCCTCCCCTAGCTACGCCTCTGGGTTCGGATTGTCACCCAGAGTTTTCCAACAGTTTTCCTAGTACCTGGCGTCAGTTGATTGGGCGTCCTGCAAAAGGGGTCAGGGTTACTGCTAGATTCAACTGTCAAACTGCATAAGCATCGTGTTCCCCCGTGAGGACTACGGCGCGTATACTTGTTTTAATGAGCGCCATGTTCTAGGGATACGGAGGGCTACGATAATCGATGGTTAAATAAAATAAGGGGTGTCCTCCAGCGCCTCGGCAGTAGCATACGTTTGGGCACCCCGAGTGTCTCCATTATTTTGATGATATGGAACAAATTGTAGATATGCCCTTTGGGTCAGTAACTTGGCCAGCTAAAATGGACCTCAATGTAAGTATTAATCATTCTGCAAACTAAAAAAAAAAAAAAATCTAAATAAATCATGAGCATCTTATTAAAATTTATGTTTGGTTAGTGGCGTCACAAGGTTCGGTATCACCCTGTGCGTTTAGAGAGTGTCACCCTACCCCCACCCCCCTCCAACAATTTTGCATTTCCGGTGGAGTGTCACCACTTCTTCCTAATATTTCGTTATTTTAACTGGATAAAACATAGTTTCGAGAGTAAATTTTACAAGTTTACGCCTAAATTTTACGCCTAAACTGTGTCACCTGCACCCCCACCTGTTACGCTACTGTTTGGTTACTTAAATGTTACAGGGTTACAGAGTTTCTTCCAGGCATCTCTTCGCCCTCCCCCCCCCCCCCCCCCGATCCCCCAAAAAAGTCTATCACCCCCCGATCGAACGAAATGACATGTATATAGAGAATTTATATTTTACCAGTGTCCGCCCCCGAAAATATCAAATGTCCCCCCACTACCCACCAAGTAGAAAAAAGTATGAAACACTGCAGACTTACAGTTAATTTATTGGTTTGTGTTTATATAAAAGTGATATAAAATCAAAGATATTTTTCTTTACATAATAATACCGTATAAATACACAATTAGGACAGATTGACGAAGGGGCCCAGAAATCCTAGGTATACCATTGCTACTTGACCTAATCAAGGTTGGGAATGCGATTAGATTATAGATACAGATTACAAAGCAATATCTTTATAGCTGAATGCTATTTTTGTGCATTTCTTCAAACAAATTATAATCTTTGCTTTGATTTTCGAGACAACTTAAAGCATCAGCACAGGTGAACAGCCGCTACCAACAACCATGTTCGCCTCTTGACAGCTCAGCGCTCAATGATGGCCACTTTCAAGCATAACCTGATTGGTAAAAACTAAAATCTTCGTAAAATCCGAAACCGTAAAGAAAGGATACAAATCTACTCAGGATTAGTTAGCAATAGTTAAAATCGATTTTGATAAAGCAATCTATTGCAGCGCCCGGGGCGAACTATCAATTCTGCGCCCCCATTTGATACCCCCTTAGGGTCGGCGCCTGGGAAGGCCGCACACTCGCCAGCTCCAAGCTATGCTTAATACTTTCAAATGACCCGTTGCTTTAGTCGTAATTTTGCTAGTTTATTGTGTAAGTAGCGGCCTAATTTCATTATAAATAGTTACAGTTACGAGGAAAAAAAATATTTTTTAAATTAAATTTTAATTTACTAATAACACTGTATAAAATGAAGAAATAATACATTGTGAGATACGAAATTATTTTCAAATTTATTTGTATGTTAAATAAAAAATCGTTTCGGGATTAATAATGTTTTAAACCAATAGCATGGTATCAGCCATTTTTTTTGGTGTAAAGAATGAAGAGCTGACAGCTGACCGGTGACGAAAGTAAACATTACAAACATACGGTGTGTTTTTTAGGCTTGTACAATTTATAAATGAAGGTAAATGTTATACGAAAATAATGCATCTTTTATTTAACTTGTTGCTAATGCTGAATTTATTCTTAAACTAATAAGGTCAACATGTGTAATGTAAGTTTTCACCATTATAAAATACAAAATTTAAATTATTGCCCCTGTTTAATAAATCAAATATTTATTATTTAATAAGTAGGCCTATTAAGTAAATAATAAGCCTATGCCGCACAATGCCTAATCTATCTATAGTTAATACTAAACTATACTTGCTAATACTATAGGCCTACATACATACTATAAAATTACTATAGTTAGAGTTAGAGTGAGTAGGCCTATGGGTAAAACCATAGTTTAGCGTCGGTTATTATTCCGGAATTGTATAGCAGTAAAAAACAGTAAAACAATGCCAAAGTCTGTCACACACTTCGGGAATTCACCGGAAGTACTGTAAACCATACTTTATTTGGCGTCATCTTTTATTTTTATACAGAATGTTTAAAATTTGGATAGATCTAGATTTATTTTTGTAATCATTTTTACATTTTGTAATCATTTTTACTATTTTCGTAATCTAGATTTTTTTTTACTTGGCCTAGCAGCTAGATATCTTGCTAGATCTAATTAATTAATGGTCGCAAATCGGCTGCAAGCCAAAAACAAAATTATTACATTTGACTTCATTATTTATATTTATATTAATATGTTTTTTTTTTATTTTTAGATGTACTAATTTAAATCTACTATTATATTTATTCTTGTTTCCTTTTGTCGATTAAACTTTAAAAAATTAAAACATTAATTTACAACAATCGACTTTCAATTTATTTATATTTCAATGGTCAAATAAACCATGGTTTACCGTAACTCTAGTTACCGAAACTCAACAAACATTACCCGATAATTTCTGACGCTAAACTAAGGTTTTACCGGCCTATGGCCTATAGTAAAGTATGGAGTTACTAGATCTATAGAGTATAGAGTAAAGTATAGACTCAGTATAGAGGTTGCATTTGTTCGCCTTCCCCGCTCCCTGGGTCCAAATAGCAACGACTAGTATTCTAATTATCCGGTAATGTTTGTTGAGTTTCGTAAACATTGGTTACTGTAAACTATAGTTTATTTCTTTATTTGACCGTTGAAATATAAATAATAGATAGGGGCCTAAAGTATTTAAAATAAACAAATTTTTAAACATTAGGCCTATGTATTAAACTTAATATTGTATATCTTGTATAGATCTGTGATCCACAATGCCAAAGGACAAATATGAGCCACCCAATGAAAGAAGACAGCACAGGATCATGCAGAGAAATGAGGTAGCAGAGGGCAAGCAGTCAAGATGGTCTGAACTAGAAATATTTGGTAAGAAGGTTTGAATTATTTCCCTGCTAGTGTTCATGTTTGTGTGGTCTGAACTAGAAATATTTGGTAAGAAGGTTTGAATTATTTCCCTGCTAGTGTTCATGTTTGTGTGGTCTGAACTAGAAATATTTGGTAAGAAGGTTTGAATTATTTCCCTGCTAGTGTTCATGTTTGTTTGTGTGGTCTGAACTAGAAATATTTGGTAAGAAGGTTTGAATTATTTCCCTGCTAGTGTTCATGTTTGTGTGGTCTGAACTAGAAATATTTGGTAAGAAGGTTTGAATTATTTCCCTGCTAGTGTTCATGTTTGTGTGGTCTGAACTAGAAATATTTGGTAAGAAGGTTTGAATTATTTCCCTGCTAGTGTTCATGTTTGTTTGTGTGGTCTGAACTAGAAATATTTGGTAAGAAGGTTTGAATTATTTCCCTGCTAGTGTTCATGTTTGTGTGGTCTGAACTAGAAATATTTGGTAAGAAGGTTTGAATTATTTCCCTGCTAGTGTTCATGTTTGTTTGTGTGGTCTGAACTAGAAATATTTGGTAAGAAGGTTTGAATTATTTCCCTGCTAGTGTTCATGTTTGTGTGGTCTGAACTAGAAATATTTGGTAAGAAGGTTTGAATTATTTCCCTGCTAGTGTTCATGTTTGTGTGGTCTGAACTAGAAATATTTGGTAAGAAGGTTTGAATTATTTCCCTGCTAGTGTTCATGTTTGTGTGGTCTGAACTAGAAATATTTGGTAAGAAGGTTTGAATTATTTCCCTGCTAGTGTTCATGTTTGTGTGGTCTGAACTAGAAATATTTGGTAAGAAGGTTTGAATTATTTCCCTGCTAGTGTTCATGTTTGTGTGGTCTGAACTAGAAATATTTGGTAAGAAGGTTTGAATTATTTCCCTGCTAGTGTTCATGTTTGTTTGTGTGGTCTGAACTAGAAATATTTGGTAAGAAGGTTTGAATTATTTCCCTGCTAGTGTTCATGTTTGTGTGGTCTGAACTAGAAATATTTGGTAAGAAGGTTTGAATTATTTCCCTGCTAGTGTTCATGTTTGTGTGGTCTGAACTAGAAATATTTGGTAAGAAGGTTTGAATTATTTCCCTGCTAGTGTTCATGTTTGTGTGGTCTGAACTAGAAATATTTGGTAAGAAGGTTTGAATTATTTCCCTGCTAGTGTTCATGTTTGTTTGTGTGGTCTGAACTAGAAATATTTGGTAAGAAGGTTTGAATTATTTCCCTGCTAGTGTTCATGTTTGTGTGGTCTGAACTAGAAATATTTGGTAAGAAGGTTTGAATTATTTCCCTGCTAGTGTTCATGTTTGTTTGTGTGGTCTGAACTAGAAATATTTGGTAAGAAGGTTTGAATTATTTCCCTGCTAGTGTTCATGTTTGTGTGGTCTGAACTAGAAATATTTGGTAAGAAGGTTTGAATTATTTCCCTGCTAGTGTTCATGTTTGTGTGGTCTGAACTAGAAATATTTGGTAAGAAGGTTTGAATTATTTCCCTGCTAGTGTTCATGTTTGTGTGGTCTGAACTAGAAATATTTGGTAAGAAAGGTTTCAATTATTTCCCTGCTAGTGTTCATGTTTGTGTGGTCTGAACTAGAAATATTTGGTAAGAAAGGTTTGAATTATTTCCCTGCTAGTGTTCATGTTTGTGTGGTCTGAACTAGAAATATTTGGTAAGAAGGTTTGAATTATTTCCCTGCTAGTGTTCATGTTTGTGTGGTCTGAACTAGAAATATTTGGTAAGAAAGGTTTCAATTATTTCCCTGCTAGTGTTCATGTTTGTGTGGTCTGAACTAGAAATATTTGGTAAGAAGGTTTGAATTATTTCCCTGCTAGTATTGATGTATGCAGGGATTGAAGTAGAAATATTTTATAACCAGGGTTACTTTAGGGGAAGTAAAGGCGGCTGCTGAGGCGTAGCTGGGGGGGGGGGGTTAAGTCAGGGCTGCTGCAGTTTTGAATTATAAATTGTCATAGCCAAGAAATGTAATTGCTACAAGCTTTTGCATATGGATTTAAACCGGCAAAAACTGCTTTTCAGCTTTTGCTAGAGGGGGGGGGGAGTGCTTTTTCACCGACAAAAATCAGAACAATGTACACTGGTTTAGTGAGTTGATAAACTTCACCATTCATAAAAGAAACCATTTGTATTAAAGCGTATTGTACGATTGTGTAACATTAAAAAAAGTTTGTCCAAGATGATGGGGAAGGGGGGGGGGGGTCGCACTTTTTGCCATTTAATAATCGCAAAGGTTTACACTGGATCTGTGAGTATTTTTATTTATTTAATAATGGTAACTATAGTAGGCACTGAGGCCTTTTTCACATTGGCTGTTTTTCGCCCAATAAATATCGCAGGGATTTGTACTGGATCAGTGAGTAGATAACTCTTTTAACACTTAGAAAAGAAATCAATTGTATGAACACATAATGTACGATTTCACTAGCCAGTTTTGCTAAGAAATGGCATCATTAGTTCTTTGTTCAATAACTGTATGAACACATAATGTACGATTTCACTAGCCAGTTTTGCTAAGAAATGGCATCATTAGTTCTTTGTTCAATCCTTATCATTCTCTCAACTTCAACATGAGGGATCATTTTATTTACATTACATCTTGACTGGATCACTGTATTAAAGAGAAATAAATATCACATATTCTTGTATCGCTATCTGATCAGTAAAATAGCATACCGTCAGAGCAGGTGGGTGGAAGGCGACACTCTTTGCTAAAATTTTAAGGATCTATAGCTAAATGTGAAGTCTCTTTTTAAACTTTTACTGTAAGGCTCAGAGCTAGGTGGTTGCAGAGAGTGGAGAATGAAATAAGAGCAAAGAAAAGGTGCTGGTTAGGGCACACTATATGAAAGACAGAATATTACATTACTAAGCAGGAGCTGGTGTTAAGTCCACTGGGAAAAAGGAAGAGAAGGAGACCAATAAAATCATGAAGGAAATCGTTTGAAAAGAGATGTGGGAGGCTGGATTATTAGGGTTCTATCTTCATAAAAATCAAGGAGTTAACGCAGTGTTGCCTATGCCCCTTAGGAAGCCGAAACAAATGAAAATAAGAAAATCAAGGAGTTAGTGTTACCTACGCCTATGCTCCTTAGGAAGCCAAAACAAATGAAAATAAGAAAATCAAGGAGTTAGTGTTACCTACGCCTATGCTCCTTAGGAAGCCAAAACAAATGAAAATAAGAAAATCAAGGAGTTAGTGTTACCTACGCCTATGCTCCTTAGGAAGCCGAAACAAATGAAAATAAGAAAATCAAGGAGTTAGTGTTACCTACGCCTATGCTCCTTAGGAAGCCGAAACAAATGAAAATAAGAAAATCAAGGAGTTAGTGTTACCTACGCCTATGCTCCTTAGGAAGCCAAAACAAATGAAAATAAGAAAATCAAGGAGTTAGTGTTACCTACGCCTATGCTCCTTAGGAAGCCAAAACAAATGAAAATAAGAAAATCAAGGAGTTAGTGTTACCTACGCCTATGCTCCTTAGGAAGCCGAAACAAATGAAAATAAGAAAATCAAGGAGTTAGTGTTACCTACGCCTATGCTCCTTAGGAAGCCGAAACAAATGAAAATAAGAAAATCAAGGAGTTAGTGTTACCTACGCCTATGCTCCTTAGGAAGCCGAAACAAATGAAAATAAGAAAATCAAGGAGTTAGTGTTACCTACGCCTATGCTCCTTAGGAAGCCGAAACAAATGAAAATAAGAAAATCAAGGAGTTAGTGTTACCTACGCCTATGCTCCTTAGGAAGCCCAAAACAAATGAAAATAAGAAAATCAAGGAGTTAGTGTTACCTACGCCTATGCTCCTTAGGAAGCCAAAACAAATGAAAATAAGAAAATCAAGGAGTTAGTGTTACCTACGCCTATGCTCCTTAGGAAGCCGAAACAAATGAAAATAAGAAAATCAAGGAGTTAGTGTTACCTACACCTATGCTCCTTAGGAAGCCAAAACAAATGAAAATAAGAAAATCAAGGAGTTAGTGTTACCTACGCCTATGCTCCTTAGGAAGCCAAAACAAATGAAAATAAGAAAATCAAGGAGTTAGTGTTACCTACGCCTATGCTCCTTAGGAAGCCGAAACAAATGAAAATAAGAAAATCAAGGAGTTAGTGTTACCTACGCCTATGCTCCTTAGGAAGCCGAAACAAATGAAAATAAGAAAATCAAGGAGTTAGTGTTACCTACGCCTATGCTCCTTAGGAAGCCCAAAACAAATGAAAATAAGAAAATCAAGGAGTTAGTGTTACCTACGCCTATGCTCCTTAGGAAGCCAAAACAAATGAAAATAAGAAAATGAAAAGAGCTTAGAGAAGTGGTTCTTGTTATCAGTTAAGTTGAACAAAGTAACTAAGCAGTAGCAGTCATTGTGTTATCAGTTAAGTTGAACAAAGTAACTAAGCAGTAGCAGTCATTGTGTTATCAGTTAAGTTGAACAAAGTAACTAAGCAGTAGCAGTCGTTGTGTTATCAGTTAAGTTGAACAAAGTAAGTAAGCAGTAGCAGTCATTGTGTTAACAGTTAAGTTGAACAAAGTAACTAAGCAGTAGCAGTCATTGTGGTTCTAACCTGTTATCAGTTAAGTTGAACAAAGTAACTAAGCAGTAGCAGTCATTGTGTTGTACCATTTTTACCTTGTTTAGTAGGTCTAGTGGACGGCGTTATGAAAATTACAGTATCTAGATATATAATTTCTCTTCTGGGAGACACTAAAAAACTAGCTGTAAGCGCGCTCCCTACCACCCCACCCCTACATGGTCTGGTGAGCTGTGGTTCATGCTAAATGTTTACCGTCCTACGGTTTCGTGACGGTTACTAGGGGCAGATAATTTAGTTTGAAACGATTTTAAACGTAGGGGAGGTAACTAAGAGGAGGCTGTTTTCACGGGGGTGGGGGGTAGGGGTTGGGGAAAGGAGGGGGGGGGGGGTATCGTCCTTAACGAGCTACTGATAGTGTTTTAAAGCAAATATATTGTGGCAGCATTGGTACTGTCGAATTCACAAATTATGAATTACTGAAAAGTAGAAAATAAAACAACTAAATAGCGGCGTATGATACGCCACGGGTCGGCTCGTTACTTTTAATTAACTTTACGTTGCATGTGTTTCCATAACAAACTGCTCTCCCCCTTTTTTGTTGTCGCGCTGATTGTAAGCCTTACACACATGACCAAGCAAGCACATTATACATGCTTTGATATTTAAATATCTAATTGTAACAGTGTTGAGTTTTTACTTGAAAAAAATGACTAGATCTATATCTGTTTAGGCTTTGTCACAAAATAATGATGTAGACCTACTATAATTTAGTTACAATTGTTTGAAATGTTTAAAAACAAACTAGAAATACCATGCATTGTTTTAGAAAATTGCCGCGGTCACTGCCCCATCCCCTCCCGCTTGTAAAAAAAAAATCACTTTTTTTCTTAGGCGGGTGGTAAACAGCTACATTACTGATATCTTTTCATACACCTTAATTGTTAAATCTTTTCTGGACTTTCGCACACTAATACACACACACACATTTATACGTATTTTATATATATTATGCATATATCAGGGATTATGCGGCCTACTGAAAATTCCAGGAAAACACATGTACTAGATCTAGTCAAACACATCAAGGATGTGACTACCAAATTTTGTCTGAAACCAACAGCTATGATCTGGCATTTAAATAACTCAGTTTTAGAAAACAAGTTTATGTGTCTAGTGTCTAAAGATACACAATCAGTTTTAGAAAACAAGTTTATGTGTCTAAAGATACACAATCAGTTTGAGAAAACAAGTTCATGTGTCTAAAGATACACAATCAGTTTTAGAAAACAAGTTCATGTGTCTAAAGATACACAATCAGTTTTAGAAAACAAGTTCATGCGTCTAAAGATACACAATCCGTTTTAGAAAACAAGTTCATGTGTCTAAAGATACACAATCCGTTTTAGAAAACAAGTTTATGTGTCTAAAGATACACAATCAGTTTTAGAAAACAAGTTCATGTGTCTAAAGATACACAATCGGTAACAAATTGACAAAATCCTTTTAAAATGTTGCGTCAGTCTTTCTGCTATGATCGCAGCTACATGCGATGAGTATGCTGTTCTAGTATAAATAACCAACTAAATATTGCATTGTTTTTATCTAGCATTAACCTTACAACCACCAACACATTTGTTCTATGGTTAAAAATACCAACAGAAGAGGATTAGCCATTCCTCATATTGTTATATAAGTATATTTGAGAAAGTTTAGGGGAGATCACTCCCACTTTATTTAATTTCTATTATCTGGATTTGTTTTGTATGTGAAATGATTCTTGCCTATTTTTTTCTCAACTTTTAACCTTGTAATGAATTGATTTCTTTTTAAAACCTATTTCAAACTGTCTGTTTTTAGGTTTTGTTCAAAATTTAAGTGGTAATCTCTGGAAAGTAGAATGGCTGACAGTGTTGTACCTAGACAACAATCATTTGAGCCATTTACCAGCACAAATTGGCAGCCTAGTTCACCTGGAACATTTGGATGCCTCTCACAATTTTATCACAGTCCTGCCCCCAGAGATAGGGGAGCTGGTCAACCTGAGGGAGCTCAAGCTTGCTTCCAACAGACTCAGAGATCTGCCCTATGAGCTGGGCAAGTGTTTCCAGATCCAGACTCTGGGTACGTCCTGATTACTTCTTTCCTGCTTTCATAGACCAGAGCTGACAAAAGTTTAGGCAGCTAGACTAGACCAGATCTGACAAAAGTGGCAGCTAGACTAGACCAGAGCTGACAAAAGTGGCAGCTAGACTAGACCAGAGCTGACAAAAGTGGCAGCTAGACTAGACCAGAGGTGACAAAAGTGGCAGCTAGACTAGACCAGAGCTGACAAAAGTGGCAGCTAGACTAGACCAGAGGTGACAAAAGTGGCAGCTAGACTAGACCAGAGCTGACAAAAGTGGCAGCTAGACTAGACCAGAGCTGACAAAAGTGGCAGCTAGACTAGACCAGAGGTGACAAAAGTGGCAGCTAGACTAGACCAGAGCTGACAAAAGTGGCAGCTAGACTAGACCAGAGCTGACAAAAGTGGCAGCTAGACTAGACCAGAGCTGACAAAAGTGGCAGCTAGACTAGACCAGAGGTGACAAAAGTGGCAGCTAGACTAGACCAGAGCTGACAAAAGTGGCAGCTAGACTAGACCAGAGCTGACAAAAGTGGCAGCTAGACTAGACCAGAGGTGACAAAAGTGGCAGCTAGACTAGACCAGAGCTGACAAAAGTGGCAGCTAGACTAGACCAGATGTGACAAAAGTGGCAGCTAGACTAGACCAGAGCTGACAAAAGTGGCAGCTAGACTAGACCAGAGCTGACTAAATGTGGCAGCTAGACTAGACCAGAGGTGACAAAAGTGGCAGCTAGACTAGAAGGGACAAATAGTCACAGCTAGACTAGAAGGGACAAATAGTCACAGCTAGACTAGAAGGGACAAATAGTCACAGCTAGACCAGAAGGGACAAATAGTCACAGATAGACTAGAAGGGACAAATAGTCACAGCTAGACCAGAAGGGACAAATAGTCACAGCTAGACCAGAAGGGACAAATAGTCAAAGCTAGACTAGAAGGGACAGATAGTCACAGATAGACTAGAAGGGACAAATAGTCACAGCTAGACTAGAAGGGACAAATAGTCACAGATAGACTAGAAGGGACAAATACTCAAATGCTAGACTAGAAGGGACAAATAGTCACAGCTAGACTAAAAGGGACAAATAGTCAATGCTAGACTAGAAGGGACAAATAGTCAAAGCTAGACTAGAAGGGACAAATAGTCACAGCTAGACCAGAAGGGACAAATAGTCACAGCTAGACTAGACTAGAAGGGACAAATAGTCACTGCTAGACTAGAAGAGACAAATACTCAATGCTAGACTAGACTAGAAGGGACAAATAGTCAAAGCTAGACTAGAAGGGACAAATAGTCACAGCTAGACCACAAGGGACAAATAGTCACAGCTAGACCAGAAGGGACAAATAGTCACAGCTAGACCAGAAGGGACAAATAGTCAAAGCTAGACTAGAAGAGACAAATAGTCACAGATAGACTAGAAGGGACAAATAATCACAGATAGACTAGAAGGGACAAATAGTCACAGCTAGACTAGAAGGGACAAATAGTCACAGCTAGACTAGAAGGAACAAATAGTCACAGATAGACTAGAAGGGACAAATAGTCACAGCTAGACCACAAGGGACAAATAGTCAAAGCTAGACTAGAAGGGACAAATAGTCACAGCTAGACCAGAAGGGACAATTAGTCACAGCTAGACCAGAAGGGACAAATAGTCACAGATAGACTAGAAGGGACAAATAGTCAAAGCTAGACTAGAAGGGACAAATACTCAATGCTAGACTAGAAGGGACAAATACTCAAATGCTAGACTAGAAGGGACAAATAGTCACAGTTAGACTAGAAGGGACAAATAGTCAAAGCTAGACTAGAAGGGACAAATAGTCACAGCTAGACCAGAAGGGACAAATAGTCACAGCTAAACTAGAAGGGACAAATACTCAAATGCTAGACTAGAAGGGACAAATAGTCACAGCTAGACTAGAAGAGACAAATACTCAATGCTAGACTAGAAGGGACAAATAGTCACAGCTAGACCAGAAGGGACAATTAGTCAAAGCTAGACTAGAAGGGACAAATAGTCACAGCTAGACCAGAAGGGACAAATAGTCACAGCTAGACTAGAAGGGACAAATACTCAAATGCTAGACTAGAAGGGACATAGTCACAGCTAGACTAGAAGAGACAAATACTCAATGCTAGACTAGAAGGGACAAATAGTCACAGCTAGACCAGAAGGGACAAATAGTCACAGATAGACTAGAAGGGACAAATAGTCACAGCTAGACTAGAAGGGACAAATAGTCACAGCTAGACCAGAAGGGACAAATAGTCACAGCTAGACTAGAAGGGACAAATACTCAATGCTAGACTAGAAGGGACAAATAGTCACAGCTAGACTAGAAGGGACAAATACTCAATGCTAGACTAGAAGGGACAAATACTCAATGCTAGACTAGAAGGGACAAATAGTCACAGCTAGACTAGAAGGGACAAATAGTCACAGCTAGACAACAAGGGACAAATAGTCACAGCTAGACTAAAAGGGACAAATACTCAATGCTAGACTAGAAGGGACAAATAGTCACAGCTAGACTAGACTAGAAGGGACAAATAGTCACAGCTAGACTAGAAGGGACAAATACTCAATGCTAGACTAGAAGGGACAAATAGTCACAGGTAGACTAGAAGGGACAAATACTCAATGCTAGACTAGAAGGGACAAATAGTCACAGATAGACTAGAAGGGACAAATAGTCACAGCTAGACCACAAGGGACAAATAGTCACAGCTAGACTAAAAGGGACAAATAGTCACAGCTAGACCACAAGGGACAAATAGTCACAGCTAGACTAGAAGGGACAAATAGTCACAGCTAGACCAGAAGGGATGAATAGTCACAGCTAGACTAGACTAGAAGGGACAAATAGTCACAGCTAGACCAGAAGGGACAAATAGTCACAGCTAGACCAGAAGGGACAAATAGTCACAGCTAGACCAGAAGGGACAAATAGTCACAGCTAGACCAGAAGGGACAAATAGTCACAGCTAGACTAGAAGGGACAAATAGTCACAGCTAGACTAGACCAGAAGGGACAAATAGTCACAGCTAGACCAGAAGGGATGAATACTCACAGCTAGACTAGACTAGAAGGGACAAATAGTCACAGCTAGTCCAGAAGGGACAAATAGTCACAGCTAGATTAAAAGGGACAAATAGTCACAGCTAGACTAGACTAGAAGGGACAAATAGTCACAGCTAGACTAGACTAGAAGGGACAAATATTAACAGCTAGACTAGAAGGGATAAATACTGATGGTCTAGGTTATAATTGAAATTTTTTTTTAGAGTAAAAATTACATTTCATATCTGTCAAACAATCCCTTAATTTTTGACATTTAACATTTCAGATCTATCTAACAATCCTTTAAGTTTTGATGTCAGTAAATATTACACAGAAAGCTCTGCCAAGCTTTTATCAGCTTTAATGGATTCATTACATT